ATTTACCAATCTTGTATAAAGTTAGGGTAGAGAAAATAAAAAATATATAAAGTTTTCTGAAAAAACGTTTGAAATGTATTTAGAGGCTTTTAGAGATTACACAAACGAATTTTGAGATTTTTGAGATGAAGAAAAGTATTTTTACTCTTAACCTGAAAATCACTTTGCACTTGGACAAGTAAAAAAAAAAAGACTTGATATATTCATGGACAAATCTTTTTTAGTTTATTAAAAATACTTCACTTAAAAATCTGATTTTTTTGTATGTGTAAGACTTGTAATGATTACTGAAAGTCTGCCAAGTTTAGTAGTATCCAAACTATAATGACTTTAAAGGAGTTCAAAGTGGTCACATCATTGGTCAATTCAACCAAGCTCGTGTAGAGAGTTAATGGAGCGCTGACTGCTTCTTCACTTACCTTTGAAGTGATAGCTGAATATGGGTGAGAAAGATGAAGACAACTGTGAAGAATTATGGTGGGGATGTGTTAATTACATTCTGCTCACTGAAAATGGGACCTATCTGTGAAGATCTGCAAGTCTTAATGCTCATGGATATCAAGAAAACTGAATATATATCTAGAATCAATGATAGTGTTTCGGTCAGCAGGCCAATGTGTTGTTCCTGCAAGTAATTTTCATGCCATGTAATAGGTAGGACTCACGTTTGGTTTCAAAACAATAACAATATCTTGGAATAGTCCATTTAAAACCAAGATCTTGACCTTATAGAATATTTTTTGCTGAGCTTTTAAAATATAATTTTTACAGACCAGAATCTTTATGATCAATATTTTGACATACAGCTTAATTTAAAAAATTATACCATCAAATGTGAAATCTTGTCAAATGTTTAACAAGAAAACACTATGAAACAATACTATGTGATATTCATCCTTCCTCATACTAAAATTGACAATAACAAAAACAACCTATTTAGAATTTTTTCTTATAGATTGCTACTATTCACTATTTTACTAATGCCTTGGCCCGGCATGGCCAGGTGGTTAGGATACTTGACTCGCAATATGAGGGTCATGGGTTCAAACCCTCATCCCACCAAACATGCTTGTCTTTTCAGCTGTGGGAGCATTATAATGTGATGGCAATCCCATTATTCCGTAGTAAAAGAGTAGCCCATGAGTTGGCGGTGGGTGGTGATGACTAGCTGCCTTCCCTCTAGTCTTTCACCGCTAAATTAGAGATGGGTAGTGTGGATAGCCCTCGTGTAACATTGCATAAGATTCAAAACAAACCGAAACAATACAAATGCCTTTTACTGCTACCCTATTTATAGTTGAATGTTTCAGAATTGTACTATTAAGATGTTTATAATTGTTACTGTGGCACTATTCTTTATTATTAGACTTTGTTTTCCACCAAATGAATCATTTAGTTGTCACTTTAATTTAAATATTAATGTTTAAACACTTGTAAAGATATTGTAATGCTGGATTTATTTGAAGACAAAAAGAATGCCACTAAACTAATATTAAATCAACTTGCCTACTTTGTAATTACTGTTGTTATAGTTCTTAAGATATGATTTAAACAGTATATGTTATTGTAAAGACTGATGTTCATTCAATCTGTATAAGTGAATTACAAGTAAAATCTAAATTAGTAATTCTAACAATACAAACAATTACATATATATACCTATTCTCAATAAATATAAACACTGGGGCAACTAATTCTGCATGAACACAATTAGAGACAACTACTAAACTGAATTTTCTAAAGTAAACTAAACAGAAAGAAGAACATTAAGAAATTATTTCTAACTAAACTGGATACTTACCTGAGGTAACTTCGTAGAAGTTACTTGTAATGAAGACAAAAGTTCATTGAGATACCACACAGTCACCCCAGAATCATTACCACCTGTTACCTTGCAAAAAAAACAAAAAAACATCTGATATCATCCTCAGCTATTCATACAGAGCAATCTCAGAAATCTTATTTTGTCAAGTGAAAATTTCATAAAAAGTCATAAATAATGTATATATACACACACATCAGGAAATATGTTAATCGTAGGATCATGAAATTTGTAGATTTGCTTGTCTAAGTGTCATGAAAGTAACATATCTGGTACAAATAAGTTGCAAATAAAACTACTGAAAAAACACCTTTTTTAACTTAAAAACTTTTCTTTATGAAAGTGTCAGAACTTGCAAGCTTGATTTTGAACTAAAGTAATGAAAAGAGTCATAATTTTCCTGTACTGAAAATATATTTCTGATATGTACTTAACTCCTCTCATATAAATAACTATTCTAGTTAAGTGCTGCCCTCTATATGCAAAACATTATTTTCACATGCCATAAGCCTTGAGCTTCCACGTACCTTACAATCAAATGGTTCAACTGCGTCTCGTATGTAAATCTTCATGCGACAATAGGAGTGCAACACACTCTTCTGACACATGCAACTCCCTCTATTCTATTCTACAGAACTATCACTTCAATTTTGGCAGAAAATGGAAGCACCAGTTTTCAGTGGGAAGGAAGGGTGAGGAATGTGAGAGGAGCAAGTACCTATAAGAAATATATTTTCAGTATAGGAAAATTATAACTTCTGATATGGTATATTACCTCTGCTCACATAAATAGCTAGAATCACACATTGAAAAGGTGGAGAGACTGGTGCGAGAGAAAAACAAAGAATTATTCCTCAAAACATCCGAAGAACACCCTAAAAAGAGTAGATCCTTGCATTAGAAGATAATACGTGGGATACACCACATCTGTACCAGGTATAATCTTTGCCCAGTATGGAAAGAGGAGTCGCAGACATGGACAGAAAATGGGTGTGCATCCAAACGGTTTGATAGGGATCTGAACCACTATATATCAGAATCTCAAGCTCATAGAATACATTAATATGGGTGAGAGTAAAAGGATGTGCACCTAGATGTAGAGTGGCTAAGGCATGAGAGACTGTACACAGCAAGTCAACTGCAACCAAAATCCAGCCACCGGGAACCGATTATAACCAAAACCCAGACACCGGGAACCAATATCCATGTGGGGGTAGGAAAAGAGGATCATACCAGTGGCAAACAACTACAATCTAACACCCAACCATCTGGTGGGGATAGGAAAGAGGATCCCTGAGCTGTGAACGGGAAACACAAAAGCAATGTGATAAACTGTTTGACCAATCCGGGAACATGACGTCTGGAGGATCGGCATAATAAAGCTGTCTAAGTAATGGAAACTAGCCCACTCAACCATCTGACAGAACCTGCCCCAGCACAATAACATCCTCAGTATATGAAAATAATTGTGGGATAGTGTAAGAGGAAGAACCATATTAATCTGCAAGTTTGACCACCGTGACCCACAACACGGGTGGAGGGAACAAGTCTAACTAAGTGAGGAACAGAGACACCTATAATACATGTGTGAGAACTTATGTTGATTAGTTCAACTCTGAATCAAAAACCCAGCCACTGGGAACTGACATCCATGTGGGAATAGGATGAGAGATCCCAATCGAAGGTGAGAACTGCAGTTTTGACTGCTCACTCCAAAGCTACAACATCCCCTTGGATAAACCCTTACAGAGCATCAGATTGGAGGACATCTCATCATCTACACCAGCATAACACCACTGCCCTGCTTTCAACTGAATGGTTTTATCATTATTTGTATCATTATTGCATTTAGGAGGATGCCTCCATGGTTCATCATCCCAGCAGCTTGGAACTGGAAAGTGGTAAGGACTCTCATACTCCACTGGAAGAAAAAAAAGAAGGGAGAAAATGCAGTGGAGAGTCTGGAGGAACATAAGAAAAAGATATAGAAACACCCCTGAAAAAGAAGATATATATATATATATATATATATATATACACACACACACAAC